CGTGGTTTTATTTATTACAATCATAGGCCTATTCTTTCACTATCATAACACATTGAGGCCCTTCTTTTAGGTAAAACGATCTATCTTAATTTTTCTTTCTCAAGTTTGGGACTATTATGTGTTTAAATAACTTGGAAGCAAATGAGGGGAAGCACAAGCTTCAACCCTAACAAATTTTTGTATTTTTAATTCTAATTTCGTCGGAATTGATCAAAACTCCCTAAATGTGCAATTTTTAGAGGAAATCGGCCTACCTCAACAAGAAATGCTCTTATGTTATATATTGCCACACTCGTTTTTTTAAACTGAATATAAGCATTTTCCTTATGGCTTTACTTATTACAAACATGTTCTTTCAACACCATTACACATTGAGGCCCTTCTTTTAGGTAAAACGATCTATCTTAAATTTTCTTTCTTGAGTTTGAGACTTTGTGTTATAACTTAGAAGGCAAAGGAGAGCAAGCAGAAGCTTTAACATTAAAAAATGCGCGCGTAACGCGCGAAAATTTTTTGTTTTTTTAATTCTAATTTCGTCGGAATTGATCAAAACTCCCTAAAATGTGCAATTTTTAGAGGAAATTGGCCTACCTCAAAAGAAATGCTCTTATGTTATATATGGCCACACTCGTTTTTTTAAACTGAATATAAGCATTTTCCTTATGGCTTTATTTAACACAAACATATTCTTTCAATATCATTACACATTGAGGCCCTTCTTTTAGGTAAAACGATCTATCTTAAATTTTCTTTCTTGAGTTTGGGACTATGTGTTATAACTTAGAAGGCAAAGGAGAGCAAGCAGAAGCTTTAACATTAAAAGATGCGCGCGTAGCGCGCGAACAATTTTTGTTTTTTTAATTCTAATTTCGTCGGAATTGATCAAAACTCCCTAAAATGTGCAATTTTTTAGAGGAAATTGGCCTACCTTAACAAAATATGCGATTTAAAATTTGAGATTTTCTTGCACTTTCCCAGGTGAAAAGGGCATTCAATGGGGAAAGATTTTCCACAGATGGATATTTTCCCCTGGTCCCCCGGTGGTTACGTCAGTGGAGAAGGGGTTGCAGGCCAGGTTATTGTGATATCTGTTCATTATATCTTCCTTTTTATTCTTGTCTTTATTTTTCTCTTCTCTTTTTTTTTTCCTTTTTCCTTTCTCTTTCTATCCCCTTCTTTCTCTTTCTCTTTTCCTCCCTCTCCCCTCTTTCTTTTCTCTTCTTACCCAGCCCGGTAAGACGGCTTGGTCAGCCCGGTAAAAACGGCCAGGGGGCAGTCTCCGCCTGTTACGCCACTGCTTATAAGATGAATGGGAGTATGAATCATGTAGATCTGGAATCAAATCTAGGTGTTGGGGTCAACATTCCTCCCCCGGGAAAATTTTGATTTCTAGATGGCGGGAAATGACCTTTTCAGCTGGTGTCGGAAAATTTATTTGTGTCTACTGGGCTAAGAATTAACTATAAGGTCCCACCCACTCTGACCGTCACCCTCAATACACTGTACACAATAACGTAACACATGATCAGATATAGTGTGATTCGGTCGTGATTTATTACGACAAAAGGCAAATGGACACGATCGGTCCCTAAATTAATTTCCATAGTAAA